TGTGTGTGTGTGTGTGTGTGTCCTTTTTGAGACAGGCCACACCGCGCCCAGCCAGTGAGCGCTGTGAGTGCACCGGTCATCACTATATAGGATCAGAACCCATGGCGGGAGCGCTGCCATGCGCTCAGCGCTGCCCCCTCCCAAGTGCGCCATGGGCTCAGCCCTAGAGTCATTCTTAACTAGACTGATTTGCTGAAAAAAAGCCAAATTTGACTTTTAAGGAAATTTATATTATAAATTGTTATCTTAGGAATTTTACTAAATTCCTAAAATTTCCTTAGAGCCTTTGATTTTTGTTTGTTTCCTATTTGTCAAAGACATGCAATTCTTTAAGTATGCTTTTCTCTTTTTATAATTATAGGAATATGCAAGAAAAGCTCTTGATTTTCTCTGGGAAAAAAGACAACGAAGTAGTAATTTAGTGGGCGTGACTATAAATATTCATACTGGAGATTGGGTACGAAAAGGTATGTAAACCGGGCTTTTTAAATCAAGCCTTCACATCCTTGGCATGGTTGGTAAATAAAGATTTTCATTTGCTAAAAGAATCTATGAGATAGTATAAAGCATAGTTTCTTACAAAATTGCCGAAATTTTAATTAATTTAGCCAGATTTTCTTTTTTGGTGCCAAATATAGCACACTTATTCTAAATGTATATATGTGTATATAGCATTTTTAGAGTCATTCTTGACTGGCTGAAAAAGAGTCAAAATTTGGCTTCATACCTTAATGCGTATAGCATTATAGGTATGGGGTATAGAGGAAGCACTGTAATTAATTTCTCTGAGGGCTGGAGGATCAGAGTAACTCAGCCATCTTATATCAAGGTGCAGTTTAGTGGGAATTTATATTTAATGCTGTTTTCAGCAATCAATATTATTATTATTTTGTACCTCCAGAAATAGAGCATAGCATAGTAGCTAAGAGCATAGACTCTGGGGCTGTATTGTTGGAATTCAAGCTATGTGATGTTGGGCAAGTTATTTAACCTCTGTGTGCCTCTCTATCCATATCAGTAAAATGGGGATATTAATAGTACTTATTTCATAGAATTATTATGAGGATTAAATGCGTTAACCAATGTAAAGCACTTTGAGAACAGTATCTGACATTTGCTACACTTCCTATGAAGTAAGTAAGTGCTTACTAATGTGATGGTAGTTCCTTTTGATTAGTAATTTTACTTTGGGGAATCTAGCCTGAGGAAATAATACAAAATATACCAAATTATTTGTTCCCAAAGATGTTCATCACATAATTATTTTCAATAGTGGAAAATTGGGAAATGGTCTAAGTGACCACCAATAAAAGAATAGCTAAGAAAATTATTTTACATCAGTCTTGGAATATAGGTTGGAATATTAAGTTGAAATGAATGAGAGCCATGGGAAGAATCATATAACAATGTTATATGAACAAATAGGATATAGGATTGTATAAAGAACACGATTTTATGGGCCGACACTGTGGCTCACTCGAGTGCGGCACTGGGAGCGCAGCGCTCCCGCCGTGGGTTCGGATCCTATATAGGGATGGCCGGTGCGCTCA